GTTAGAATTAGGAAAAGAAAGAGAAACATGCATGGGGAATTCTTCAAGAACCACCAATACAACAAAAATTCATCCATAATTGTTCATATAACATCAATCAAAGTCAGTTTATAACATCAATTTCACATTAGAAAGAACACCCGTGTTTTTGGATTGAAACCTAGAAATTGGAGATTTTGAAATTCATCTCGAAGGGGCCCCTTGGGGAAAGGAATCCCAAGAGTGATAAGCAACCATACCTTATTAACGAATTAACCACGAAAATCCGAGTTGAAACCTTGGAGAGTTGGTCTTCTTCTTGAAGTTCCAATCTTCTTCAATAGAGTTCTTGAGAAGAGAGAGAGAGAGTAGAGAGTAGAGAGAAGGAGGAACTTAAGGTTTAGATCTTTGGGGTTTTGTTTTTGAGTGATAAAAGTGAGGTAAACTGACTTAAAATCATTATATACACGTCCCCTAAAGTACCCTAAATACCCCTCACTTAAATGGACTCTTTAATGAAGTAAAATAGATTTCTGAATTTCTGCATTTTCGTCGCGGACTTGGATTTCTGAATTTCTACATTTTCGTCGCGGAACAAGTTCGCGACGTGGAGCTGTTCCCTAAAGATATTTGGAATTAAATTTCGAGACAGTAGAGTCCGTGACACGACCATGTCATGAACTGAATTTTTTTTCCTTGGGGAAGCAAGTGCACGACACGCCCTCATTCTTACCTATGTTAAACATTTTCACCAGATTTACCTATTTTAAACATTTTCACCAGATTATACCATCATACAACACAACCAAACCTGCCCAAAACCTAAGGACACACTAGAACACATTCTTCTCTAGTTTTCGGACGTTGTGGTCATTTCTTGACGTTTAGGCTTTTACTCTTCCAAACCAAGTCAATTACATTAGTTTATGTTTATAAACATCATTTTAACTATTTTTAAGTCATTATTCATAAGGTGAGGCTCTAACTTAAGTCATAGAATTTCCGGGGTGTTACAATATCCCCCCCTTAGGAACATTTGTCCCCAAATGTCACTTGGACTTCTTTCTAGGGAGACAATGACTCAAACTAGCAGCACAACAACCAGACTCATCAACAACATCATATCAGCATATCAAATAGGAATTTAATTCACAACATCACTATGCTCAAAACTCTTTACTTCATATAAGTATAGGAGGAACTACCTTCTCCATATTCAATGAGCATAAACATATATCTTAAGCAATCAACAAGACATTTCTTTAACAAGACACATCAAGCATGCTTATTACAACTCTCGTGAAGACAACATCACACAACATCTATTGGTGCAATATCAACCATGAGAAATAAAATTCATGAAAACCCCAAATACAACTTAAGCATGAATTTTAACAAAAATATGCACATACAAGGAAATCATGTCTTAATCATCAACACACATGATTTTCAATGTATACCTAATTAAGAGAGACTACTAACCTCAACTTTGGCTAGGAGTAGAAGGAAAATGATGAGGGTAGCGGGACTCCATGTCGGCCTCGGCGTCCCATATTGCACCTTCAACTAGGTGGTTTCTACATAGGACTTTTACGGAGGCAACCTCTTTATTCCTCAATTTCTTAACTTGACGATCTAGGATTGCTACCGGAACCTCCTCATAAGAAAGGCTCTCATTCACCCCTAAACCTTCTAGAGGGAGAATGGACACCGGGTCACCTATACATTTCTTTAACATAGAAATATGGAACACCGGGTGAACCGGGGGCAATTCGATGGGTAATTTCAACTCATAATCGACCTTTCTGACACGCTTCAAGATCTCATAAGGCCCAACATACCGGGGGCTAAGCTTCCCCTTCTTACCAAACCTCATCACCCCTTTCATGGGTGAGATTTTCAAGTAGACCCAATCACCTACCTCAAATTCAAAATCTCTCTCTCTATTATCGGCATAAGACTTTTGCCGACTATGAGCCGTTTTCAACCTATCCCTTATAAGTCAAACTTTTTCCGTAGCCTCGTAGACTATTTTGGGACAAAGAAGAGCAAATTCACCTACTTCAAACCACCCAACCAGAGAACGACACCTTCTACCATAAAGTGCTTCAAAGGGTGCCATAGCAATACTCGAGTGGTAGCTATTGTTGTAGGAAAATTCTATTAAAGGTAGGTGGTCATCCCAATTACTTTTGAAGTCAATGACACATGCTCTCAACATGTCCTCTAGGGTTTGGATGGTGCGTTCCGCTTGACCATCCGTTTGAGGGTGAAATGCGGTACTAAGTTTCACTTGAGTACTAAGCCCACTTTGGAAAGGCCTCCAAAAATGGGAAGTAAATTGGGCACCTCTATCCGAAATAATCAACAACGGGGCCCCATACAATTTCGCAATCTCCTTAATGTGCAACATAGCATAATCTTCCGCCGAATAAGAAACCTTGACGGGAAGGAAATGGGCTGATTTAGTCAATCTATCCACAATGCCCCAAATGGAATCATGTTGCCTACGGGTTCGAGGCAAACCTACCACGAAGTCCATATTGATCTATTCCCACTTCCAAGTGGGGGTATCAATATCTTGAGTTAGACTTCCCGATCCTTGGTGCTCGGCTTTGACTTGTTGGCAATTCGAGCACCTAACCACAAAATCTTCTATGTCTCTTTTCATTTTGTTCCACCAATAAATCTCACGTAAGTCGTGATACATTTTGGTGGCTCCCGGATAGATGGAGTATCGGGACCCATAGGCCTCATCTAAGATTGTCTTTCTTAGGCCATCCACATCCGGCACACATAATCTTCCTTCGTGCCTAAGCACCCTATCAAAATAGGGTCAAGATGTTGCTTAGACTTCACGTCAACAACAACCGATGACTCTGAATTATGACGGGCTAACTCCCTTTTCTCTTCTTCCACATGTGACACACTACCTATTGATATATGACTCAAAGCATCCGTAACCACATTTGCTTTTCCGGGGTGGTAAAAGACACTCATATCATAATATTTTAAGAATTCCAACCACTTCTTTTGTCGGAGATTCAATTCTTTTTTGGCTAAAAACATATAGAACACTCTTGTGGTCGGTAAACACATCCATATGTACCCCATAGAGATAGTGTCTCTAAATCTTTAAAGCAAAGACTACGGCCGCTAGCTCAAGGTCATGAGTTGGATAATTCTTTTCATACACCTTGAGTTATCTCGAGGCATAAGCTATAAACTTACCATGATGCATGAGGACACAACCCAAAACCACTCGGGAAGGGTCACAATATACTACAAACCCTTCGGTGCCCTCCGGTAAGGTCAAAACTGGAGCGGAGGTGACCTTATCTTTCAATAATTGGAAGCTCTTTTCACAAGATTCCGACTATTCGTACTTGGACTTCTTTTGAGTTAAGGTCGTTAATGGAGATGCAATAGATAAAAATCCCTCAACAAACCTCCGGTACTAACCGGCCAAACCCAAAAAGCTTCGGATGTCGGAAAGATTCAAAGGTCTAGGCCAACTTTTGACCGCATCGGTTTTCTTTGGATCAACTTCTATACCCTCCCTAGGCTGACCTACGGTCTGTGGATCCCTTCCGTAGATCAGAGATACCAAAAAGGTTATCTCTGATGGGAACCACAGATGTGCAAAATGGTATGTAGATTGATCTACCGACCACAGTCCACTTTTGTGGTTCCATACTTGTTGAAATTCTCATGTGCCACCAACCACGAATCTGATCTACGGTCCGTAGATTGACCTACGGCCCGTAGATGGGGTCTCGTGGATGGGATCGTGCCAGGTCTCAGACATGCTTCGATTAAAAGCCCGCATTTATGCCATATTCAACAATATCCTAGTCTAATCATGTATTTCAACATAAATTATGCTAGTTCATCATTCTAGGGGTTCCAATTACTCAATTTTACAGGTAATGCCTACAAGATAAGGAAGTCGAAACTTACATTTAGACTTTTGTTTCATTGTTTTTTTTAGATACAACAAGACAACACAATCACAATCTATCGTCCCAAGGGTGCATTCACTTTTAATTTAGCATACAATTTCATATATTAATTTGCCCAAGGTCAAGACCCAATTCCGGACTTTCTATAATCAATCGATGAATCAAAATTCAAAGTGAGGGGAAAGTCTATTACCTTACAAGCAGCGGGAGTGGGGTGATTATGTGACGACTCGAGACTTCCAACAACCTTTTGCTCGCCTTTCGCACCGAACCTAGACACCGAACCTTTAAAAATGGGGAATGGGATAAAGTTGGGGTAGAAGAGAGTTCTTTGTGGAATGAGAGGATGAGTATGGGGTGATTGATGGTGGATTTATGGTAATATGGAGTGATTGGGGTAATTAGAGGGGTGTAGAAATAGTTTGGGAATAAAAACGAGGGAAGTGGGAATGATTTGAAAAAGAGGGGGTTTTATTTAAAACATGTCTGGGTCAGGTCAGGCAACTAGGGTTTGAACCCACCAGACTCCATCTACAGTCCGTAAGTCTATCTACGGTCTGTAGTTGAGGACCGTAGATCACACTTGCACTTTAAAAATTCAAGAACCTTACCTGGGATCTACGGACACCATTCACGGTCCGTGGAATGAACCACAGACCGTCGATGGGGTCCGTAGACCTCTGCACCAGACCTTGTTCTGCAGATTTCTCTTTTCGTCCCTGCACATGTAGCACCCATTAGGCCTTTATTTTTACATTTTCTGGATACTTTTTAGACACGGACTCTATGCTATGTCTAGCCAACACTAACCAAAAACAAAGTACCTATCTAAAGGAATACAGAAAAGCTAATAAACAAAGGAAACTACTAAACCTAAAAGAAAAACCTATAGTTGGCTAGATTGTACATCTTGGGTTGCCTTCCAAGCAGCGCTTATTTAACATCGCGGCACGACGCATGCCTCTTGACTACTCAGACTTCATCAAGAACATAGGCCTCAACAACTTCTTGCACACTTTCAGCGTTTCCCAAATAGATCTTGATCCTTTACCTGTTTACCTTGAATCTTGTTCCCTCACTGTTTTCAAGATCCACCGCTCCATGTGGGAGCACTTGCGTGACTAAGAATGGCCCAGTCCATTTGGACTTGAGCTTTCCTGGAAACAAGCTCAACCTAGAGTTGAATAGAAGCACAAGATCACCCACAACAAATTCTTGCTTTTCAATCATTTGATCATGATACTTCTTCATCTTCTCTTTGTACAAGGCTGCACTCTCATAAGCTTTTAGGTGAAACTCATCAAGTTCATTCAGGCCACTCATTCTCTGATTTGATGCAGCGCCCCAATCCAAATTTAGCTTCTTTAGCACCCGCATAGCCTTATGCTCTAACTCTACCGGCAAATGGCAAGACTTCCCATATATAAGTTGGTAGGGGGAAATGCCTATAGGAGTCTTGAATGCGGTACGATAGGCCCATAGAGCATCATCAAGCATCCTTGACCAATCCGTTCTATTAGCATTCACAGTCTTTGCCAAAATCTGTTTGATCTCTCTATTAGACAATTCAACTTGCCCACTAGTATGCGGATGGTAAGGAGTGGCTACATTGTGGCGGACACCATATTTCTCAAGTAGCGCCTTGAAAAACTTATTACAAAAGTGGGAACCTCCATCACTGATAATCTCCCTCGATGTACCAAATTTGGAGAAGATATTCTTTTTCAAGAATGCGGTGACACTTTTACCTTCATTGTTGGGGAGCGCAACTGCTTCCACCCACTTGGATACATAATCAATTGCAACAACAATATACCTCATCCCATGTGAACTCACAAATGGACCCATAAAATCAATGCCCCATATATCAAACAACTCTATCACCAATATAGGATCCATAGGAAGCTCTTGCCTCTTTGAAATCCCTCCTTCTCTTTGGCATCGGTCACAAGACTTGGCGAAATCATGAGCATCTTGGTGGATGGTAGCCCAATAGTACCTACACCGTAAAACCTTATGCGTAGTCTGAATACCACTATGATGCCCATGAACAGGTGATGAATGGCACGCCTCAAGTACATTCAACATCTCACCTCGGGCACACAGCGACGAATAATCCCATCAGCACAATTACGATACAAGTAAGGCTCATTCCAAAAGAATTTCTTCAAATCATGCATAAACTTCTTCCTTTGGTGAAAAGGTAAATTCGGGGGCACCAAATCGCTTGCCAAATAATTAGCAAAGTCTGTGAACCAAGGAATCAGATCATGAGAAGCAGCCAATACATGTTCATCTGGAAAAGCATCATTAATTTCAGCCCTATCACCAAGCCTTAGCATAGCCTCTTCCTCTAATCTGGACAACTGATCGGCAACTTGATTTTCGGTCCCCTTTCTATCTTTTACCACAAAGTCAAACTCTTGTAGCAACAATACCCATCTAATAAACCTCAATTTTGCATCCTTCTTTGCCATCAAATACCTCAATGCAGAATGGTCAGTATGCACTATGACCTTAGTACCAAGCAAGTAGGATCAAAATTTCTCGAATACGAGAACCACCGCAAGAAGTTCTTGTTTAGTTACAGTGTAATTCTTCTGCGCCACATTTAGAGCTTTGCTAGCATAGTAAATAGGATGAAGAACTTTCTCTCTCCTCTGTCCTAATACTACACCAAGCGCCACTCCACTCGCATCGCACGTTACCTCAAACACTTGTCCTCAATCTGGTGAAATAATGATAGGTGTAGTAACGAACTTCTCCTTCAACTCTCCAAATGCTCTCAGACAAGCATCATCAAAATCAAACTTATAATCTTTTTCGAGCAGTTTGCACAATGGATGTGCAGTTTTAGAGAAGTCCTTGATGAACCTCCTATAGAAACCTGCGTGCCCAAGAAAACATCGAACACCTTTTATAGAGATAGGTGGTGGAACCTTTTCTATTACCTCTACTTTTACTCTATCAACCTCAATGCCCTTCTCAGAAATCCGATGACCCAGAACTATCCCTTCTTCACCATAAAGTGGAACTTCTCTCAATTTAGCACCAGATTGCGGTCTTCACACCTTTTAAGCACCTCAACCAAATGATCTAGACATCGATCAAAAGAGTCACCTACCACATAGAAATCATCCATAAATACCTCAATAGTGTCCTCCACCATATCAGAGAATATCGACATCATACAACGTTGGAAGGTCACTGGAGCATTGCACAACCCAAATGGCATACATTTGAAGAAGAAAGTCCCATAAGGGCAAGTGAAGGTTGTCTTCCCTTGGTCATCCGGAGCTATAGAAATCTAATTGTAGCCCGAATAACCATCAAGAAAACAATACCAACCCTTACCTGCAAGTCTATCCAACATCTGATCCATGAATGGCATAGGGAAATAGTCTTATTCTGTCCAAGCATTTACCTTCCGGTAGTCCATGCAGACTCTCCATCCAGTCACGGGCAGCATCGGAAGAAGCTTGTTTCTCTCATTAGGAACCACAGTAATCCCACCTTTCTTAGGCACACATTGAACATGACACACCCAACTACTATCTACAATAGGATAGATAACGTCGGCATCCAACCACTTGATGATCTCCTTTTTAACTACCTTTTGCATAGGCGGATTTAATCTTCTCTGGTGCTCAATACTAGGCTTGTGATCTGGCATGAGTTGGACTTTATGAGAACAAATACCAGGAGGGATCCCAATAGTGTCTGCAATAGTCCACCCAATAGCTCGCTTGAATCTCTTTAACACAGAAACCAAACACTCTACTTGTCGCCCATTCAAATATGCCGCAATGATGACCGGTAAAGTATCATAGTTTCCCAAGAATACGTACCTCAAATGTGATGGTAGAGCCTTAAGCTCCAATTTCGGCAACTCCTCAACAGATGGTCTTGCGGGTGGGGACTCACGATTTTTCATGTCTAACTCTAGCTTTTTTGGTTTCGAACGATATTCGCACCTATCAAGTGCGGCGACCAACTCATCATACTCTTCAATACCATCACTCTCAAAGTTCATCATAACCACTGCTAGTTCCTCAACACCCACTCTCTTCAATCTGTACCTCAGACCCACTCTCAACTCTATATGTTATCGCAGATACCGATTGGAGCTCACTACTCTGCTTCCTACACCTACATATATTGAAAGTTACCTCTTCATTGTTCAGTCTGAACTTCATCTGCCCCTTTTCCATCTCAACTAAGGCGCGCCCCAGTGGCAAGGAATGGTCTCCCAAGAATGATGGGAACCTCAAAATCAACCTCACAGTCAATAATAACAAAATTCACCGAAAAGATGAACGACTCCACTTTCACTAGTACATTATGGAGCACACCAATGGGCCTCTTCACAGTTTTATCGGCCATGAGCAACCGCATTGCAGTTGGTTTTGGATCTCCCAGACCCAATTTTTTGTAAATAGACAATGGCATCAGATTAATGCTAGCACCAAAATCGCACAACGCCTTAGCAAAATGCAACAAGCCAATAGTATATGGAATAGTGAAGGCACCAGGATCCTCTTTTTTCTACACAAGGGACCTTGGAGCAATGACACTACAATGTTGCAATCTATCATCATCTTCGAAGCTCACTGCTCTCTTCTTTGTCACCATGTCCTTCATAAATTTTGCATACCCAGGCATTTGCTCCAAAAGCATCTATCAACGGAACATTGATTGAAAGTTACTTCAACATGCTAATAAACTTGCGGTATTTGCCTTCTTCAGTCTTCTTCACTAACTTCTGTGGGAAGGGAGGTGGAGGTGGAGGTCTAGGTATGGGGACAACTTTTTGAGTTACCTCCGCTTCTTTCTCTATCGCATTCTCGAACTCTCCACTTACCTCAACCACATCATCATCTTTACTATTCTCAATTTCCACCCCAGATGGCATAGGTGGATCAATGGTTTGCTTAACCCCTCGAGTAGTGACTTCCATATAATGCCCATTATTCTTTGGATTCTGGATGGTGTTGCTAGGAAGAGTGTCAGGTTGACGTGGATTTACTATAGTTGACAAGTGAGTCATCTACTGCTCAAGATGCTTGATTGACATTGCATGGGCATCAACTTTTTGACCAATACTAGACAAGTCATTTCTCATCTCCTTCACATTCTCATCTGTTGCATCAAACCTCCTCCTCATCTTCTACATCATATCCTCAATACGTGACATATTACTTCCAGCTTCCCTAGGACCAAATTCCTGATTTTGAGGGGGAACATAAGGTCCAACCCGATCATTTTTATTGCCATAGTTGTTCTTGTTATAGTTTTTGTCGCGATTGAAGTTTCCATCCCAGACATATTGACCCTCTTGGTTGTAGTTGCCATAGTTTCGACCTTGGTTTCCTTGACCTTGGTGCCAATTATCCGTATTGGAACCTTGGGTGTTGGCTCAAAAACCCCCCATCTGATCATTCACCGCATAAGTATCCTCTTCATAGTAACACTCCTCAACTGGTGGTGGATTCCTAGTTAAATAATTCACAGCATTTACTTTCTCTGCACCTCCGCTCACATGATTCAACACCAATCCTAGTTCGGTCCTCATCTGAGCCATCTTCTCACGAATTTCATCTGCAAACTGATTGTTTGTAGATTGAACGAAAAATGTGCTCCTCCCAGTATCCGACCTTTTAGTGCTCCAAGTTTTATTATTTCGAGAGATCTTCTCCAGTTTCTCCGCAATCTGCTCAAAAGTGCACTCACCATAAGAACCTCCAGCGATAGTATCAAACACTACCTTACTGTTGTCATCCTGACCTCGGTAGAAATACTCCTTTAGAGACTCATCATCAATACGATGATTCAGAACACCCCTTATGAAAGTAGTGTACTTGTTCCAAGAACTACTCACAGACTCTCCAGGTAATGCTTCAAAATTGTTGAGTTTATCTTTGTGTTTCAGCTTCTTAGACACAGGAAAAAATCTTGCTAGGAACACATCAGTCAGTTGGTCCCATGTATAGATTGAGTTATAAGGAAGCTCATTACACCACATAGCAGCATCGCCGGTGAATGATAGAGGGAATACTCGCAATCCAATGACATCCATGTCTAAGTCCGGTCGACCCACACAACCTTTGCAAACACTCGTTAGCTTGGTTACATGCGCATGTGGTTCCCCCGATGCCAAACCTGCAAACATGCCCCTCGAGTAAGCATCTACTTCAAATTGCTAGTCACCACCATTGTATGCCCCAGAGGTAGAGAGGGTAGGACAAGAGGTCCGTTAGATTCAGTAGCATTAAAGTTGACCCTATAGTTATCACACAGTCTTGGTCCTGGTTGATCTTGTACCCTCACTGTATCTTTCAATAGATTCTCACCTTGAATCTAATTGTTCTCATCACCAA